TGAGTATAATGATTATCTTAGTGCTGCTCAATACCTCTCACAAGCTGTTGAGTGAAATAATATGTGGAATATCAAAAGATATGTAGTTAATGTATTCATCTACATCTGTGCTGTGTAATACAGTCACATGTGGATATTGAGCACTTGAAATGTGGCTGGTGCCACATGCTCAAATCACAGTATTTTAGATATATTGCATTAAATAAAGTACATAAAGTTAATTTTTCCTGTTATTTTTACTTTTTAAAAGTGACTATTAGAAAAAATTTAAATTACATATATGACTCTCATTACATTTCTATTAGACTGTGCCAATCTAGACAGCAGGAATATCTATCCTTGAATTAAACTATACAGTCAGATGGCTGCAAACCCAGAGCACAACACATTGATGTCTCCAAAACTGCTTTTGTTATGTTATCATACTGGGACACTGGTCTATAACAAGAGCAATATTAGACTTAGGAAACTCAGTAGATTTAATGTAAAAGTGTGGCTGAAGTCTTTATTTATTATATTACACACATGGTCGCCTCTCTCCATGAATCCTGGAGGAAGTGTATTTGTGGCTGCACACCAAGAACATCTGTCCTCCTCTTCGGCTACTGCTTTACTTTTGTCTTTGGACAATGTGACTTAGAGTGTAATTGAAAGGCATGGGAAGGATCTTTCTTCCTTTCTGGGCTGGCTTCTTAACTAGTAGAGTCAAATTTGTTTCAGACTTCAAGCAAGCATACATGATTTTAAAGCCAACATTTCATGTAGGTCCTCATTTGTAGCTTTACCTTACTTTTCTATCATAATTTCCCATTTGCTTTGATAGCCTCATCAAATAAATCTCATTGCATTAGAATATGATTGTGTATAAACACCACATACTAATAAATTATCAAAAACTAAACAATTATAGATGTTACTGAAGCAAAAAGTATTCAGTTTGTTTTATTGATGCAGGCTACAAGACAGTGCAAGCCAATTAAAGTTATGAGCTTTGGTATTAGATTTGTGTCTCAATCTCAGCCCTTGTTCTTCATCATTGCCTCAAATTTTGAACCTGAGATTTTTCTTCTGTTAACACTGGGATTATTACTTATCCCATAGGATTCTTGTGAAAAACAGCAACAACTGGCATAGTTTAAATTCTAATACATTGAACATATTATTATTAATGGGAACAGTATTATTGTTATGATTATTATTGGATATCCATCTTGATAACATTTTTAAAAACTGAAACTGTTTAACCCATTACTTGATTTTACCTGTGTCCTCACTTTTGATTTTACAGGCTCATAGATGGAAGGGACTTGCCTGGTCTCAGATGAGACTTTGAACTGTGGACTTTTGAGTTAATGCTGAAATGAGTTAAGATTTTGGGGGACTGTGACTGTTGGGAAGGCATGATTGGTTTTGAAATGTGAGGACATGAGATTTGGGAGGGGCTGGGGTGGAATGATATGGTTGGCTGGGTCCCCACCCAAATTTCATCTTGAATTGATGAGATTCCATAATTCCCACATGTAGTGGGAGGGACTTGGTGATAGGTAGTTGAATCATGGGGTGGGTCTTTCCTGTGCTGTTCTCATGATAGTGAATGAGTCTCATGAGATCTGGTGGTTTTATAAAGGAGAGTTCCCCTGGACATACTGTCTTGCCTGCCACCATGTAAGCTGTGACTTTGCTCCTCTTTCACCTTCTACCATGATTGTGAGGCCTCCTCAGCAATGTGGAACTATGAGTCAGTTGAACCTCTTTTTATATGTAAACTACTCAGTCTCAGGTAGGTTTTTATTAACAGTGTGAGAACAGACTAATATACCATGTTCAATGATAGAGAAGAGATATAAAAGAAATTCTTAGTATATTGGCAAATGACACAAATCTGGGAAGAATGGCTAACAGAATGTATAAAATATTCAAATTCAAAAATATCCTCACAGATTGATGAGTGCAGGTAAAAAAGAATCAGCTACATAATTAGAAGATGGGAGAGACCAACCTCAGTCAAAATCCATACAGGGTATTTCAATGTGAGCCAATAGTAGGACATGACTGTCAAAATGCTTACGGAAGCTTAGGCTGAATGGATTAAAAAAAAAAGAATTATGGAAAGGAGATAATAGTTTCACAGACAGTTCAGATCATAACTGGAATATCGCTTTAAACAAAATGGAAAAAGGGAAAGATTGGAGATAATCAATAACTGTAGACATCAATAAAGGGTGATAGATTTGATGAAGATCTTGGAATACATCTTATGCATCATGAGTAACTCAAATTTTGAAAACTGAATCATGGCTTCCCATTGGCTTAGAGACTTTCATAACTGAAGTCTCAGTTCATAGTTCAACTGCAGGAATGTGCCCTTTATCCAATTTTGGTCACATACGTTCATCTTCTAAGTTCTCATTTAGTGTCTTCAATCTCTCATTATGGTTTTCAATAATAAATTTTAGTGTTAATATTTCAGTTCCCCAAAAGACTAGAAACTTTGAGGCATGGGAGATTAAAAGTCAGGCAGTTGTCATAATTTTGCCAGTGTAAACTGACTTTAACTTAACAGAAACGATTCTTTTGGCGTCACAGTTGGGTGCCTTCTATTTCCTCTCATCTTAAATCTTTCTTCTATTCATTTCTTCAAAGTAACACCAAGAAGTCTGTGCTATCACTCCAACATCACCAAGAACAGATATACTAGTGTAATGTTATACACATAATAGGGACACCATTAACGCTTGCCAAATGAATAAAGACTGTTTCTATATAATTTTTTGAAAAAAAAAATCATCTAGATGCAGTAAAACCTTTTAATTTGCAAGGAACAGAATACTTACCTAATAAAATAACATTCAAATTTAATATTCTATAGAAATACAATCTACCAATGTGTTAGAGAGTAGGAGTTTTATCTCATGTAATATGCAGGAATTTGAAAACAAAAGTTGGTTGAACAATAGACAGTTTGAACACTACTCATAAATTCTTACTTTACATTCCCCTTTCCAATCTCTAGATTTTGATAAGCGAATGGAAATATAGCATAGTTACTTCTCTACTTTAAACCAGATACTTAGGCACTACTCATAAATTCGTACTTGACATTCCTCTTTCCAATCTCTAGATTTTGTTATGCTAATGGTAACATAATATAGTTAAGTTACTGCTCTAGTTTAAATCAGATTCTTAAAATTGAAGAAGTTGCCCACTTATTGAAGCTGTTACTCCAATACTAGTAAAAATAATTTACCATTAGATCTAAAAAGACCTTATATATTATCTAGTACATTTATCTTACGGATCAGTAAACAAATGAAACTTTATTCAGGATCACAAAGACAATTAGTTGCTAAGCCTGTTTTTGAGTCCTGTCCTTTTTAAATGTGGTTTTGACCTGCATAAGGACGAGGATGATGGTAAAATACAGGAAACATTTCAAGTCTTAGAAGAGATGAGATTTTATCCACTAGTTAGTTTCTTTGCTCCCCACAGATTTAAGCAAGTTCTAAGAAGTCCCTACAGATGGGAGTAACTGAAGTGCTTACTTTGCTATTACGTTTTTGAGATTTGGAGGATACAGAGGTTCTAAGACCTATGTAAAATTTCAACTCAATTACATATTTTTTGGTTCATATCTACCCACCCATTCTTCCTTCCATTAAACCATTAGATCTGAAAAAGTCCTTAGAAACTAACAGTAGCAGATATTTCGTGTCACTGATCAAAAACCTGAGGCTCAGAAGCAAATGTGAATTTATATTTCTTAACAATCTTGGGGAGAAAATAAGTACTATCCCATCAGAGAGGGAGAAGGAGGGCAACCGAACTCCTGAAACCAAACATCAAGTATCCTTAAACAAGATAACAGAATTGTGATTTTTCTCTTTTCAACAACATGAAACTTCAAGCTATGTTGTATACCACATCACATATTAGGTAAATTACACAATAATCACATACCGTATTAGTAAGAGGTTAAGTGTAAAATGGTCATCTCACAGCGCTGGACTGCCGTCTCTGTGAAACTGTGAGATGCTAAATACCTAGATATTTCGACCTTTTCTCTCACAAGTTATCCTCTAAGGCTACTTCATTGGGGCAAAAATACATTTCATTATTAAAAGTCCCAGTATATGTAGGCTTAATTAATACTGAGTATTCCCCATTCTTGTTTCAAGTGATAGACTTTGCTTACCCACATACCTAGGAGGGTGGGGAGGCTCCTTCAAGTCACTGGGTATGAGGTTATAAATGCACTCAGGAGGGCACGTTGGATCCATGGCCACAAATGACTCCTTAAAAGCTACTATTCTCAACTTTTTCTCCCTGTCCCAGTATCTCCGTCCCTTTCTTACTTCTTTGCCTTCTCAAGGACCTCGGGTTCTCTCTTTCACATCGTCTCCCTTTGACCCCCTCTTAGCAGTACTCTCTCAGGAAGAAAACACCCTATTTCTCTTGGGATTGCTAAGCGTTATTGACTGCTCGGTTGCCATGGATACCGTTACTAGGCGACAAGGAAGTGGAAGACGGCACTGCTAACTAGGTCTCCTCTGTTCCCTCTTTCTGCAGTGCCGTCTGTAGAGAAGCTCATTTGGAAGCCACTGTTTTTAAGTCTCTTTGAAAGTTAACGGGGTAAGAATGGTGTCCCCTTGAAAACCTTGCTCTTTTCTCTGTTTTTCTGGGGAAAATGAAAAATCCTACTAGAGACAGTGCAAAGCGCAGCTGGTGCGCAGACGCCACACAGTAAGACTTTTGTGCGCAAGCCCCAATCCCGGTGTGGGCGGAGCGAGCGGCTGAGACCCCGCGGACGCACGGCCAAGGCCGCGAGCAGGACGACGTAGAGGAGGAGCCCGAGGAGCTCGGAGGGCTCGGATAGGCTGCAGTGAGAGAGGAGAGTCACGTGCCCGGCCCGACGCGGCTCCGGGCGTGGGCGTAGAGTGCAGGCGCACTGGGGGCTGGCCGGCGGGGCGCGCTGACTGGCGCAGGCGCAGAAGCCACTGCGCGGGGACGGGGTTGGGCGGGACCGGGAAGCGAGGCGGAGGTGTGGGGCTCGGTCTCCTCCTGCGGCTACTTAAGCGGTTCGTGGACACTGCTTTCCGTTTCCTTTCCTCTCCCCTGTCTTGTCAGTGAGATTTCCTTGGTGAGTTATTGGAGGAGAAAGAAAGGAAAACTAGAAACTAGCCCATTCCCATCGCATGCCTTTCCCCGCACTGACCCTTCCCGTTTCCGCTCCTCTCTGGTCATCTCAACTCTTCGTGCACTTTTCCTGCTGCTTCTGGTCGAGGCTCCTCCGAACCCCGCGCAGCCCTGCCCGCCACCTGTGTGAGTGCGCGCCCGGCGCCTGTGGCCTCCTCCACCTGCTGCGCTGGTCCTCCCGCCCCCGCGCCCGCGCCGGTCCTTCGAGGTCCGCCCTGCGCCTGCTCTCCCCTCGGTCGGGACCCTCCCTCTAGGTCCTCCACGGACCAGTGGACCTGCTCTTTGTGAACGAGCAGCCTAAACTAAGAGGAGAAGCTTTTTAAGTGGGCCTTTACTTTTTTGCCTATTTTTTGGTGTCCCATGTTGAAAATTGTTTTCTGAGAAGCGGTTTCATTCCTTTGTGTTCAGTTTGGTGAACCCGTAAACCTAGGCACATGGGGCTGCCGTAGGAAAGTCATGTAGACGCTTTTACCCGAGTGTCTAAAAGACATTTTGGTAATAGGATTTGGGGAGGAAGATAGATGGCTCTGAACCACCGTACAGAGGCCACCCTGCCCGAAGGAAAAAATGCTTTCCGGAGAGGAGAGAAAACAGAGTTTGGATTTCTCACTGCGTGGTTGCCTGGCGGAGAGATTAAAACAACACAATGGCTTGGTGAACTTCTTAGTTCCTGTGTAAAAGGCTTGAGTGTAGATCCTTATTTTGGGCTCTTACTGAATTTCACTAGATAAGAATACATTTAGGGTTGTTTATATATATATATATATATATATATATAAAATTTTATATACACACACACACACACACAGATAAGATTTTAATTTTTGTCCCAAATGTTTAGGGAAAATTCTCCAGATTTCTTCACTCAGATTATCTTCCAAAACATTTTAGATAGCTAGAGCTATAGATCTGTATTTAGGTCTAAATCCATCTATATCACTTTGCCCTTTCTTTTCGCCCTTGAGTATTTTATGTTTGGGGTTTCTGTTTAGTAAGTATAGACAAAAATTTTGGCGGGAAACTGTTTCTGTATATACGAAGATTCTAAGACTCATGGAATGATAACACCATTAGCCAAGTGGATAGTCATTGTCTAAAGCCTATAAATTTTCTAAATTAGAGCTTATACTTTTTCTAATTAGAAGGAGCACCTCGAGACTATTTGTGTTAATCAGTTCCTAAAATAGCAAGTAAGGGCAAAACATTTCAGCAGTTAGCGACTGGGGTTAGCTATCCTTTATGTTCTGGGGTTACTAAAATAAAGTAATTTTACTGATGTCAGTATATTATTTGTTTATTGAGATGGAGTCTTACCCTGTCTCCCAGACTAGAGTGTGGTGGCGCGATCGTGGCTCACTGCTACCTCCACCCCCTGGGTTCAAGCCATTCCCCTGCCTCAGCCTCCCAAGTAGCTGGGATTACAGGCGCCTGTCACCATGCCCAGGTAATTTTTTTGTATTTTTAGTAGAGACAGGGTTCACCATGTTGGCCAGACTGGTCTCGAACTGCTGACCTCAGGCGATCTGCCTGCCTGTTCAGCACAGGCCGGGCGTGATGGCTTACGCCTGTAATCCCAGCACTTTGGAGGCCGAGGCAGGCAGATCGGGATTTCGAGACCAGTCTGGCAAACGTGGTGAAACTTCGTCTCTACTAAAAATACAAAAAATTAGCTGGGCATGGTGGTGGCCACCTGTGATCCCAGCTACTCGGGAGCCAGGGTCAGGGGAATGCTTGAACCCAGGAGGTGGAGGTTGCAGTGAGATGACATCGCACCATTGGACTCCAGCTTGGGTGACACAGCGAGACTAGGTTCCCCCCCCAAAAAGAAAAAAACTGAACAATTTGTGCTAGACCTTCTCACTGTAGTATAGTTTACAGTCACAGGCAGGTTGTTAAATCATTTGGAAAGGAACTTTTCTTTTTTCTTGGACATTTAATCTGCAATTCTCCTTGCCTCTTGCAAGTGTGTTTAAACAAAATTATTTCTAGTTTTTATAATTCCCTCAACAGTTCAAGGAAATGCCTGTGTCCAGCCTCCTGTCCACAGGGAATTAATATTGGTATATACCTACAGTGATGAACAAGTTATCTATAGAGGGGCAGACAGTAAATATTTCAGGCCTCTGCAGGCCAAGTGGTTCTGTTACAACTACTCAGTTCTGCCATTGTAGCTCAAAAGCAGCCAAGACAGTACGGAACAAGGGAACGAATGAGCACATGAATGATTGAAGTTGTGTTTCAGTGACACTTGATTTACAAAAGTGATGGTAGGCCAGATTTGGCCTGTGGATTGTAGTTTGCACAGATTCCAGATCCCCTTATATAATGGTATGCGTGTGTTGTCTGTAAACAAATGAGGGTTTTTTTGTTTTTGTTTTGCGAAGGATTATTTTAATCTAAATGAATAAAATGGGTGTAGATGAGGATATAAGACAATTGTAAGGAAAATAAACCCTTTATAAAGACAGATTCTTTATAATTATCAAAGTTATAAAATTGTAGATACTTAAGTTTTTTCAATTAAATATTTGAGATCATTATGTCTAACAGCAGAAGTCTAACGGCAGTATAAACTTAGCATTGATAGTAATATAAAGACAAAGATAAGTGGTGAACTTGCAAAATTATTTTTTTTGGTTGTTAAGATCCTTGTTATTACAGAACAACACTGGATTGTGTGGTCCCTCCACCCTTACCTCTATTTCATGGCAGTGGGAGACACTCTGACTGAAGGGCTTGGGAGAGTTTTTGGTCAGAAGTCACAAGCAGTAGGGCTTTACCTCCTTTTGGCAACTTTGTGTCCTGATGCACAGTTGGCTCTCCATATCTGTGAGTTTCCCATTCTCAGAGTCAACTAACTACAGACTGAAAATATTTTAAAATTTTGGTTGGGTGCAGTGGCTCATACCTGTAATCCCAGCACGCTTTGGAGACCAGCCTGGGCAACATGGCGAAACCCCTCTCTACAAAAAATACAAAAATTAGCTGGGTGTGATGGTGCATGCCTGTAGTCCCAGCTACTTGGGAGGCTGAGATGGGAGGATCACTTGAGCCTAGGAGGGCGAGGCTGCAATGAGTCAAGATTGTACCACTGCACTCCAGCCTGGGCAACAGAGTGGGATCCTGTCTCAAAAGCAAAAACACAAAAATAATGCAACAGTAAAAATACCACAAATAAAAAAAAAATTCAGTATAACAGCTCTATATATAGCATTTGCATTGTATTATATATAATAAGTTATTCAGAGATGATTTAAGGTATACAGGAGGATGTGCACAGGTTATATGCAAACAGTACACTGCTTTATATAAAGGAATTGTGCATCTGCAGATTTTTCACCCTAAAGTCCATGCTGTTAATCACTAATCCTCCAATATCCCTCTCAATGCTTCATTTAAATAATTGTTAAACACATTAAAGAGAAGACTATCAAGACCAAAAGCCTTGGAGTGTGCTACCAGAAATTTCTCTCTATTCAGCAGAAACATTTTTATGATCATTCAACAACCCTCAAATATTTTTTTCCATTTCTTCGTGAATTTAAAAAATTTTAAATGAACCACTGATAATGCTTTGGTGAAGTCCATATATCTGCCTTCTATGTATGTTCCTGACTGGCCATTGCAGCAGACATCCTCAAAAAGGAAATGAGGATGTCTTTTCCTCATTTTGCCTTTAAGGAAAAACTCTGTTTACAGATTAATGCTATGTGCTATGAGTGTTATTTCATCTCTTGTCTTTCGGTTTGTTAAAAAATGTTGAGCCCCTAAAATCAATTTGTGGTTAAATGTTACAGAATAAAATTTAGGATGTAGCTTGAAATAAAATTCGTCTTTATTGTTCTTTAGAAATGATAATATTTGTTATATATTATAGCACTTAACTGCGTTCTGCTATTTAAGTAACATTTTTGTGGTGAAATAATATTGATACAGAATTACAAATTGAACTCATAATTTTCTTTTTAAAATATATATATATATTTGAGGTGTGTACACACACACACACACACACACACACACACACATATTTAAAATATACACACTACCCCAAAGTCTTGAAAAAGGGAAATGAAGTAGAATTTAAAAACAAGAGGGTAGAGGGGAAGTAACACAAAGGAAAAGTAAGATTACAAAACGTAAGGTGAAGATAATGTAATGTTTGCCTTACAGTCTAGCAACATGAAGTGGAAGAAGGATGAAAGATTTACTGGGCCAGCGTGGTGGCTCATGCCTGTAATCCCAGCACTTTGGGAGGCCAAGGTGGTAGGATTGCTTGAGTGCAGGAGTTCAAGAGCAGGGTAATATGGTGAAACCCTGTCTCTACAAAAACTACAAAAATTAGCTGGGCATGGTGGTACACGCTTGTAGTCCCAACTACTAGGGAGGCTAGGTGGGAGGATCGCCTAAGCCCAGGAGGTCAAGGCTGCAGTGAGCTTAGATCATGCCACTGCACTCCAGCCTGGGCGACAGTGGAAGACCCTTTCTCAAAAAATAAAAATAACTGCTCATAAAAATTAGCTACTCAGATTATATGCAATTATTACTGGTACAGACATCAGAAAGTTATGTAATACAAACTCAACAAGAAGACACTATAATGTTATAAGCAAAAGCTTCCTGAATAGGAAGTTAATCAGACTGTTTTATATAAGTGCTCTAAAAGCAGTTTGTGCTTTTAAAGTCCAGTACCAGAACATGGTTTAATAAAATAAACTGATGATATGGTTCCAGTTTATAATTATTTCTGGTCCTTGGTTTACTTCAGGGAAAGGATTAGACTAGCAAAACAGTTCTTGATTTACGGGTGAACACTACTGTGTTCTCTGAAGGTTTATAAGTTGAAGCACAAAAAAAAATGCACCTCGCCTTGTACCTACATATTTGGGTTCAATTTATGTATTCCTAGTCCATTGTCAGTGAGTGACAATGATTAATCTTACAATATTCTTTTGTGCTAGCCACTATGATATGTGCTTTGATTTTATGATAGACACTTAGATAACTAAGAAGTATCTTTGTGTGGCAAGAGTTTCATTTGGGCTTTTTATAGTGGATATTATTACATATGAATATGTAGTGATTTTGATAATACAGTCTAAAAGAACAATTCAGATCCTAGTTTCATAGCTTTAGTTCACTGATTTTTTTTTTCTCTCTGATCATTATACAGCCAAATCATTAAAATTCCAGGTATCCTTGTGAAGGGTTTTGTATTTGTTACTTGGTTTTTTATTGCTTGATGGCAGAAATTCCTTCAGTACTGTTCAGTGAAATTCATTTTATAATGGGACACACTTGTTTAAAAATAATATCTTAACCTTTTAATAATAGAGTTAGGGAAACATGAAAAGGGTCAGTTTTTCTGTATTTTTAAAATTTCAGATGAGCTTTTCAAATAATGGACTAGTCTGTGTAGAATTTTATGATACTGTATGCAGTTATGATTAACTTGAAATTTTTTCCATTATAGACTCCACGTTTTGCAAAGATCAATTTTGCCTCAGAGTCAACAAAGTCTTCAGATTGGTTCCTGTGTGTCCTGTGTTTACAAATCAGTGGAAATTAAGGACAACACATACAAACTGAAAAGTCAAATAAGGAAATGAATTACTTCTCTTGACAGCTCTAATTTTACTTGTAAGTTAAAGTCAGAGTTAGCTTAAAATCATTTAAATGTTTAATTACAGAACAGAGTTTAAGTAGCATAGAAAGTCAGTATTACATAATTAAGTTTTGAGAACATACATAAACATATGATCTAGTATTTAATGTGGTTTAGTTGCATATTGGTTCATGTGATAAGCCCCACTATGCGTCTGTGACATTACTTCAGGAGATTTACATGAACATTGCAGAGGTATTATATTGCATTTTATATAACCAAAAACTTGTCTAGCATACATTTTTGTTCTAATGGTGAGTATATTTCCAAAGACAAGGACTTGGTCAATAGGGGGAATTATAGAGCTGCTTTGGATGCCAGAATAATTATTTCCTCTCATCATTGGAAACATTCCTGAGTTTCTTGGCTATCACCGTGGTGTCTGGAAATTAAGCCTCTCCACTGATGATTATAGGATTAGAAACAAAAGTGATGGTTCCATGCAGATAAGTTTACAATATGTAGCCTCTGACCTCATTGCTGATTATTAATTTTTCTTAACTATTTATATAATATACCTTTCACTTTGGCTCTTTTTAAGGCCTTCAATATGAATAATATGCAACAATGATTCTTAATATGCATGTAAAAGGCTTATGAGAAAGAAAATGTCATATCTTTGTCCTGTAGTTCGGAAAACTAAGCATTTTATAAGCAAGTATGTTTCTTATTCTTGTTCCCTGTTACAAATTCTATAAGAAATTTATGAGTAAAATCATAGTCTGTCAAGATATTCATATAACTGAAGAGAAATTAAATATAAAGAATATTGTTCAGCTTTTCTGAATTACAAGTAGATAGCACTCCAACTCCAAATAATCTTTATATGTGATACAAGCCGATAAACCATGAAATAATTTTCATTAAAAGATTGCATAAAATGAAAAGAAATAGTAATTCGATTTAGTATATACTTGTTTTTCTTTTTTGGGACAGAGTCTCACCCTGTTGCCCAGGCTGGAGTGCAGTGGTGCAATCTCAGCTCACTGCAACCTTCAATTCCTGGGTTCAAGCAATTCTCTTCCCTCAGCCTCCCAAGTAGCTGTGATTACAGGGGACTGTCACAACACCTGACTATTTTTTTTTGTTCTTGTATTTTTAGTAGAGATGGGGTTTCTGCATGTTGGCCAGGCTGGTCTTGAACTGCTGACCTCAGGTGATCCACCCTCTTTGGCCTCCCGAAATGCTGGGATTACAGGTGTGAGCCGCCATGCCTGGCCCTGTGTGTGTGTGTGTGTGTGTATACACACACACACACACACACATACTAGGCCAGGCATATATAGTTTTAAAAGTGTCTACAATCTGGTATTTTGTGACTAAAAGTTTCTGTTGTTTATAGTTACAAAATTTATCAAAGTTTTGATTTTTCAGTGTCTTGAGATTTTAAAGATATAATTTAAAAGGATAATATGCAATATATAAGAACTTGGGTTGAAATACTTTTTAAATTAATTCCATAAGTTTGGAAGATTTTTTAACAGTTTATGTACCTACCATAGGCATGGTTATATTCAATCCTGTTAGGATTTTAACAGTCTACTGAAATTAGTAACCAAATTATCTTTTGTTGTTTTTTGTTTGTTTTGTGTTTTGAAAAGGGCTAAAGCCATTTTTTCGGTTGTCTTGGGCAGAAAAGTGAAAAGAAAATGCTCCACTTTAACCGATGTCAGCATCTGAAAAAGATAACACAAAAATGTTTTTCTAGAATACATGTTAAAACGGATAAACATGCACATCGATTTCTTTCAAGAACCTTTGCACTTGCGGAATTAAGGAAGTCATGGTATTCAACTCACTCTCTTGTTGGAGACAAAAATATTATCCTAATGGGACCTCCTGGTGCTGGGAAAACAACAGTAGGCAGAATAATAGGTCATAAACTAGGTTGTTGTGTCATAGATGTGGATGATGATATCCTTGAAAAAACCTGGAATATGAGTGTTTCTGAAAAATTACAGGATGTTGGTAATGAGCAATTTTTAGAAGAGGAAGGAAAAGCTGTGTTAAACTTCTCTGCATCTGGAAGTGTGATTTCCCTTACTGGGTCCAATCCAATGCATGATGCTAGCATGTGGCATCTGAAGAAAAATGGGATAATTGTATACCTGGATGTACCTCTAATAGATATAATTCATCGTCTAGAATTAATGAAGATAGGTAGGATTGTAGGTCAGAATTCTGGAACATCTATGAAAGACTTACTTAAATTTAGAAGACAATATTATAAGAAATGGTATGATGCTCGTGTTGTCTGTGAAAGTGGGGCTTCCCCAGAGGAGGTAGCTGACAAAGTGCTCAATGCAATTAAAAGATACCAAGATGTGGACTCAGAAACATTCATTTCAACAAGACACGTTTGGCCTAAAGACTGTGAACAGAAGGTTTCAGCAAAATTCTTCAGTGAAGCTGTGATTGAGGGGTTGGCTTCGGATGGTGGACTCTTTGTTCCTGCGAAGGAGTTTCCAAAATTAAGCTGTGGGGAGTGGAAAAGTCTAGTAGGAGCAACCTACATAGAAAGAGCACAGATACTGTTGGAAAGGTGTATCCATCCTGCAGACATACCTGCTGCCAGGTTGGGAGAAATGATTGAAACTGCTTATGGGGAAAACTTTGCCTGCTCAAAAATTGCTCCTGTCAGGCACCTTTCAGGCAACCAGTTCATCCTGGAGTTGTTTCATGGACCAACCGGATCATTTAAAGATTTGTCTTTACAGCTTATGCCTCATATTTTTGCGCACTGTATCCCTTCAAGTTGCAATTATATGATACTTGTAGCTACTTCAGGAGACACAGGGAGTGCAGTCTTAAATGGTTTTAGTCGTCTTAATAAGAATAAGCAAAGGATAGCTGTGGTCACATTTTTTCCTGAGAATGGAGTAAGTGATTTTCAAAAAGCACAAATAATCAACAGTCAGAGAGAAAATGGATGGGCAGTAGGTGTTGAGTCAGATTTTGATTTTTGCCAGACAGCTATAAAAAGAATTTTTAACGATTCTGATTATACTGGCTTTCTTACTGTGGAATATGGAACAATCTTAAGTTCAGCTAATTCCATAAACTGGGGCCGACTCCTTCCGCAGGTAGTTTATCATGCTTCTGCATATCTTGACCTTGTCAGTCAAGGATTTATTTCTTTCGGAAGCCCAGTCGATGTCTGTGTTCCCACAGGAAACTTTGGCAACATATTAGCAGCAGTGTATGCCAAAATGATGGGAATCCCGATTCGGAAATTTATCTGTGCCTCTAATCAGAACCGTGTTTTGACTGATTTTATAAAAACAGGACATTATGATCTAAGAGAAAGAAAATTGGCACAGACCTTTTCACCATCAATAGATATTCTCAAATCTTCAAACCTAGAACGACATTTATACTTGATGGCTAATAAAGATGGACAACTAATGACAAAATTATTTTATCAATTAGAAAATCAGCATCACTTCCAGTTAGAAAAGGTTCTAGTTGAGAAAATTCAGCAAGATTTTGTAGCTGACTGGTGCTCGGAGGGAGAGTGCCTAGCAGCTATTAACTCCACCTATAATAGTTCAGGGTATATTTTGGATCCACACACTGCTGTTGCAAAAGTGGTTGCAGACAGGGTGCAAGACAAAACTTGCCCAGTGATTATCTCATCTACAGCTCATTACTCAAAGTTTGCACCTGCTATCATGCAGGCTTTAAAGATTAAAGAAATCAATGAGACTTCATCAAGTCAGCTCTATTTACTGGGTTCATACAATGCATTACCTCCACTTCATGAGGCTTTATTAGAGAGAACAAAACAGCAAGAGAAGATGGAGTACCAGGTTTGTGCAGCTGATGTGAATATCTTGAAGAGTCATGTAGAGAAACTTATCCAAAATCAATTCATGTAAAAGTTTCCTGAGTAAAAATTTTTTTTTTCTGGCTACAAGCATGCAATAATAAATCTCAAACGCTGATTTGGAGTACAGTCACGTTTTGTCTTTTATGTAAATATCTCTCTGTTACCTGCTAGAATTTCAGTAGTCTGATCTCTAGGACTGACATTATACCTGCACTGTACCTCCTCAGATCTTTAGAAGTGACAGAAGGTAACACAGTGCACGGACTTTGAGCTATCATGCTTTGCCTTGTGGTCATGAGTCTCACTCTGTCGCCCAGGCTGGAGTGCAGTGGCACAGTTTCAGCTCCCTGCAACCTCCACCTCCCAAGTTCAAACAATTCTCCTGCTTCAGCCTCCTGAGTAGCTGAGATTACAGGCATGTGCCACCACACCTGGCTAATTTTTGTATTTTTAGTACAGATGGGGTTTTGTCATGTTGGCCAGGCTGGTCTCGAATCCCTGACTTCAGGTGATCCACCCACCTCTGCCCCCCAAAGTGCTAGGACTACAGGTGTGAGCCACCACACACAGACAGGGCCAGTGCTTTGAACCCTTCTCAAATTCCATTTTGGACTACAACTAATTATGTGTATCTTAGACTGTCCAAATTAAATATATACTCTGTCCTTCACTCTTTTGCGTGTTTATGGTTAGGGTGATGAAGTTTGAAAATCAAGACATAGCTGAAATCCAGGATGAAAGAATAAGCAGAACTGCTTAGAAGTGAATACAGAAATAAAATTATTTCAAGAGGAAAGCTTTCCAAAATTAAGAGTATTTAAGTTGTTTTAATGGTATATTTGTAGACAGCAGTTTCCCTATATTATTTGGAATCGAATAGATTCTTAGGTAATTTGTTGTCTGTCTCTTCAATGAACATTGTCTTTTTCTGGCATCTGAAACCACGCACGACTGATATACTAATTTGTATTCCCTTGTAGTAATACATTTTAACCATGACTTACGTTTGTGAATTTATTGGATGTTTTCTTTCTGAATTAAAGATTGTCAGGACCAATTAGTGTAATGGACTACTGTCAACCACAAGATGGCATTCCTAACATAATTTGTCTTTGATAACATTCAGTTTCATTTTCTGGGAGAACAGCCTCCATGAAGAAATATACTGAAAGTTGGTAATGAGGGAAACATTTTAATAGTTTAATAAGCAAGAGAAATTTGTTTTAAAAAATTTAAATTAAACCAGTTATATATTAACACCAGATCTCTGGCATAGCTTTTAAAAAAGAGGTTCTAAAGCTGAAAATTGAAAACCAGGAGCGGCTATAGGAAAAAAGTGGAAGACGCAAAGTTCTGTTTATTCATGTATGTCTTCATTATTTCATCATTTAAGGATATTTCAGTAGATGATATATTTAGAAACTGCATCTAAATATTCACTATGTACATAAGAATGCATTATTTTTCTGAAAGTGAGAGGAACAGTGTTTGAAAAAGACATGATTCCTGGCCGGATGCAGTGGCTCATACCTGTAATCCCAGCACTTTGGGAGGTCGACGAGGGCGGATAACCTGAGGCCAAGAGTTCGAGACCAGCCTTGCAAAACTCTGTGTCTCTGAGAAATACAAAACAATTAGCTGGGCATGGGTGGCTGCTCAGGAAGCTGGGACCAAAAGTCACGTGAACCCAGGAAGTGGAGGTTGCAGTGAGCTGAGATCACACCACTGCACTACAGCCTGGGCAACAGAGTGAAACTATCGAAAAAAAAAGAAAAAAAATAGATGATTTCTGCCTTCGAGAACTGTAGTTAACAAGACAACACAAAAATCTTGTACAAGCAAGAGTTATTGTAATATGGTATGTCAATAAATGGAAAATGAATGATACAGCTAAGTGCAGTCATATTTAAGAGGAAGGAATTGCTATGAGATAGTCAGAAAAGGTTTCACAAAGGACCTAGAACCTAAGATGAGTCTTGAAGGATGGGAAGATTTTCTAGGTGAAAAGGAAGGGGAAAACATTCTAACAGAGGCAGAAGAAACAGGGAAGATGAAATGCGCAGGAGTTCACCTGCATTTATTTGTGGACAGCATATTCTTTTACTGGCCAAAACAATTACTTCATGTCTTCAGTTTTTCTCAAAACCAACTCTGGCCCTTCACTCTTAGCTAATAACTTTGCTTCATTCTAGAGGAACAAGTAACCACACATAACACACCTCAGGCATCCTATGATCACATGTATGTGTTTGCTGCACCCATTTCTGTCTCTTTTCGCTCTCCTTTGATTGAATTGGGTGGCATTCCTTCTCTTTTCAAAGGCCAGTCTCTTTAGATGTGCCTCGAATCCTATTCCCTTCAGCCTACTTAAATGGCACGTGTCATCAGGTACCTTCTTGTTCTTCAACTTCTCTCCTCCTGTGTAATCTTTCTATGGCATTTAGAGTGTCTCTTTTTGTACTTTAGCATAAGAACAAAATCTCTTTAAACATCCTCATTTTCCCATCTGTGCTTCTTCATTCACCAAACAAGATAAAGCTCTTCACAGAGTTATTTACATATATGGTCTCCACTTTCTTGTCTTTCTTTTTCTCCAGAGTGTAAAATATATGCAAAGTTTAAGGATAAGCATTAAATACCTGAGTACTCACCACCTCACTCGATAGAACATGACTCACCTTTGGCTCCTCTTTGATTGATTACATTCACTTTTCTCTTCCAGAGGTAACTACTATCATAAATTCTTTGTTATTCATTCCCTTTCTCATAGTTCTGCATTGTTTAGTTTTGACTCTTTGAATTTTATATAAATGGAATCATATTTCATGTGTTATCCATGACCTATTTCTTTTTGCTCAGAGGCTTCCAAATTCATTCATCCAGGTGAATGAAGCCACAATTCATTGGAATTGTACTACTAAATAGTATTCTACTTTTATGAACACCATAATCTATCCATTACTGGACATTTGTCTAATTTTTATCTGTTTTTGTATCCAATAGATACACTGATTTTCAAAATTTGTATTGAAGGTTAGTGTCAATTTCTTAATATTTGTGACTCAATAGCATGTAAAACCATTTTTATGTCAACATTAAAAGTTTATGAAATGAAAATTGATAAATTTTCAGGCTATGGTTATAGCTTTCACTGTCTGAAATTAAATATAGTGAATTTGTAAGATATTTGAGAACAATGAGATTTTTAAGTTATATATGGAAATTATTAAATGTTTTCATCAAAATAGTTTAGAAGACAATACATTGTTTTATATGAAGTTTTAGTTTTAATAGCAATTCATTTTCAAAAATAATCATCGATGGCAAATATTGTTTTAATCCATTTATAAACATAATTCAGACTACTTAAGGTTAGTTTAAAAAATCATAAAGTACCTGTTTTCATGTGAACTTCAAACCCATGGAACCAGTACTGTTTTTCTCCCTATCCAGGAAAATGCATGCAATCTACATATGAAAAAGATGCTTGTGTAGGCCTCATTTATGTACTCCAACCACTAAAATCATTAGTTCTTCTAAGTTTGAAACTTTTATGTTCAAAACAAACAGGCTTCCTCAAAAACAGATATGCTTTTCTGTCTCAAAAAAGCCAAGCCAAGAAGTTGCTAATGTTGTGGGAAAGGGACATGTCAAATGCAAGCAACTAAATCAGTGTAACTGATGTCTGGCAATACTTTGATCAGCTGGCAATATTTTGATCATAATCCTACATCGAAAGTTGGGATAGCTTCATAGAAGGATGGTGTAGTCAGATTACCTGCTTTTCCTTTTAAAATCAGAACTCTGTTTCTTAGTTCTGAGTTAGGGTTTCATCTAATTGATACTAACAACTGTTCTGAGAAATCATGGCTTTGTGATGTACTTGTGATGAGTTTAGTCACAGATGTAGCATTATTTTTTTAGGTTGTTGTTATAGACTTTATTGATATTGTAGTGGTCTATAAAATGCAGAATTGCTAATGACAAGTTTCATTTACAACTATCGGGGAGTTTATGATTTTAAATTCACAATGGATTATTTTTAATGAACAAATTCTCATATTTGGTGAATGAATTTTAAAATGAGTCAATTCAATACCATCTAATCATAAATTTAATAGTATCTTTGCAAGGGATTTTTTAAGCATATGCCTTCTTACTAATTTTCAAAACGGACAATTTGAATTAGATATTCCAAAGCTCACGAGAAATACTGAAATTAAAAAAGTCCTTAGGAACCATTTTGAACAATTAGAATTTAAAAAAAAGTAATCACAACCACAAACAATCGTCTTGGTGCTCTTAAAGCACAAATATCAACATGTTAATTTTTAATGACTTAATTTTATTTCAAACTAAATTAGACATCTGTGTTTCTGATGACATTAAAACTTAATTTATAACTATGTGCTCACCAATAGGTTTTCTTCAGAAGGTATGTAAAAAATACCATTTGGGGGTTGCTTGGCAGCACATGGCACAGGTTTGCAATCCTTGTTGTGTCATATTTTGTTTATCCATGTTTCTGCCTGTGGATGTTTGAGTTGTTTCCACATTTTGGCTATTGTGGATCATGTTGCTATGTGTGTGGGTGTACAGACACTAACACAACCGTGCTTTCTAGACCCTGCTTTCAATTCTTTTGGTCATATACTCAGAAGCAGAGTTGCTGGATCACATTGTAAGTCTATTTTTAAATTTTTTGAACAACTCTCTTATTCAAAGAGAGTTATTACAGCAGATGGACCATTTATATTCCCACCAGTGGAAACTTGTGTTACATTTAGAACACAAAGTTATGTATAATTTAAAAAGTCAAATAGTTTTATAAAGCTAAAATGTAAAACAGGTAGTATCCACTCCCCAGAGGTAATTACTCTCAAATCAACAGTTTCTGCTGGCATTTTTCCCTCCATATTTTTTGATAACACATGATAACTACTATTTTGAATTTTGGCTTTAGATATTATGTACTGACATTCTTCTATAAAAGTTAAATGTTTACTTTTCCTGCTCTCACTGTCCTGTCCCGCTATCCTCTCATTTCCTTACCTCCCATCTTCTAATATATTGTAATTTTGGATTAGGTTAGAAGTACTGTTTGCCTTATTACTTATTATGACTAA